AACTCCAGAACCACGCATCGTACGCTAAAAAGGATTGCAGAAACGTGATCAGAGCATGGCAAAACCTTTTTTTTTTTTTTTTTTTTTTTTTTTTTTTTTTTTTTTTTTTTTTTTTAGGATTGGTGCAACTGATTCGCGGCATTCTGGCGCCGGTCTGAGCCTGGAATTCATGAGCCAGAACCGGCGAATCATCACTACTGTTAAGTCTATGGGTACCATAATGTTTTAGCTTATAGCTTTTTAGCAACAGTGCTCCTTTATTTGGTAATTAGGAATAGGCATCATAACGATTTTTATTCTGGGATTCTGGGGATTCAAACCCAAAATTATTTAAAGAACACGGACTACGATTAAAAATTTCTTCCGTGTATTTTTCTGTTTGCGAAATTAATTCTCGCCGCTTATAAGTTGCGATTTCAAATCAGCCGCAGAATAAAATTACTAGTAGCTGAATTGAATTTTTGGAATCAATGTTTGTTGTTAAGAAGCACAAGCTTTAGCTTAGTAGACTAAGCTAAAACCAAGGCCTTACAATGGAACTTATTTGAACTCAACTCAAATGCCTGATTGCACCATGGATATTATTTGCTTTTTCCCTTCCAGAAATGAACGTCGTGATGTTATGTCTATAATAAATAGACTAGATTACATGAAACTAATATCGTTTGTACCACGAACAATTATAATTATCGCATGCAACCAGTAATTGTATTATAAACGGCGCCACACTGTCGTTCAACAAGAAAAAGAACACGAAACGATACTATTAGTTCATTACGTACTAGCTTTTGAGCCTGTGGTTTCGCACGCGTAGAATTTAGATAACGTCCTGGTCCCGAAATCTCAACAGCGTGTTTATAACGAAGAATATCGATAATCTAAAACCTAATAAAAGTTAACTCATCATTCTATTCGAAGAACAAACCTGGAACCCCTTCCTTAGTTGATTACTAAGGACGCCCTGCATGAAAACTCGACCGACGAGACGGTCCAAGCACGAGCAATATTGCGAATAGCGATATTAACACACGTACACTAATATCACACGATATTACTGCCGAAATTCCAACGAACAATACTAATGAAAGCGTTCGCAATCTGATTCTAGGAAACATTAGGAAAATTCAAAATTCGGTAATGTAACACTACGATCATTTGCTGGGAAAATTCGACGAAACATTAGTCAATAACTTTAGTAAGCACATTCATATACCACGAAAGAAGTTTACGACAGAAGTGCTGAAAACATACTCAATGGAAAAGGCCATGATGACTACAGAAAATATGGACAAATTATTAGAGGAATGTTGTTAAAGAAAAGGAGTTGTCTGGAGATAATGGAAAATTAAGACTTACATATGTGAGGACCCATACTAACTTGGGCAAACACAGGACGAAAAAGAAGACAAGCCAAAGATGGTATCATTAATGGCCTGATCATAAAAGCAACGAGGCAACCATTACATTAGGCAATAAATAAACCAAACGAACTATCGACATATGATACTATCGAATCCACATTCAGCGTCAATTCGATTTAAATCGAATTAAATTACAACACTAGAAACCTCAACCAAACTTTACACGCTTGACGAAATCTGAATTCTCGAATGCGAGCAAATATTCACTGCAGCGACTTTATCCTAAACAATCCAGGCCTTCGTCAAACAACGACGGCCTAATTCCAGTTTTAGTTTGTTTTGTCCGAAGGCCAACTCAACAATTTTATAGGAAATAAAATGGCGCAACAAAGTGCCAGCTTTGATGTGTGATGTGATGTGGATCCGATGAAATGTTGTCGAAATCATCATAACAAATAACTGGTATTACTTTTTTGTTGCCTTTCATTCTAAAACCAGAGGTGTGGATTTTTAAAGCATTCCACAATTTGGCAGTTTTATCTGAGAGTTATTATTTCTAAAGCAGAGTCTATGAATCTACTAGCAGTGAGAATTTTAACATACATAAGAGCAATAAAACTTTGTCTTAATTAAGAATTGAAACTGACTCAGTTCATCGCCAGGGGTAATTAATTAACGCGGCAGTTAAACGATGATATTCATCTAAATATATCTCATGGGGATCAATACATCCCCACGTTTATCTATTCATCATTAACAACAGCGCTATTAAGTCGGCAATATTAACATTTCAAAACCACTCGGAAGTTCGGCCGAATTACGTTGCGGGATAGAATAATTTAATAAGGAAACTTGAAAAAACAATTGCCGACCGTCCTGTCCTAGCCTGGCGTAATTTTCAGTTCTGTGTCGAATAAGTCAACTCATTGTACTGTACAATATAAAAAGTCTTGTATTTTCATGTGAAGAATTTGTATACGAATTTGTATACGAATTTGTATAATGGGGTGAATAGGGATCGAGAATAGAAACAAAAGAGGGGTGAATAGATATTAGGAAATTCTTCTTAGTATCGTTTCACCTCTCTTCTGTCTCTATTCCCCTCTCGATCCCTATTCACCCCATTTTACCGTTACTTTTTCTTCATCAGCTTAAAACACAGACGCAAAAACTCCAACAAAGTTCTTACAAGATCTAAATCCCTAAAACCTTGGCCATAGAATCCTGTGCAAATAGTAATACAATATTTACCGACAAATATGAACAGTCAAGCATTTGTTTATTACGTACCGCTACTTTTGAAGTTCCCTAGCCGCCGGCGAATTTAATTTTTGCAAACCCGTTCACAAGAAACGTGTAGAACAGGGAAAATAAATAGCCTCCTTGTCTTGTATCATACTTAGGGGGTATGTTTATTTGCAGAGAACATTTTTTAACCTGCGGCGAAAAGAGATTGGGGAACAAAATTGTCGCACAAAGGAAAGTTCAAGAGAAAGTAGCTTTAAAACTTTTGGGTAGTTGAAAATATTTTTGCATTACCTTTCTCGCAAAAAGTAATTAACATTTCCACTTCTCGCCTCGCGGCGTACAAGAACATTATGCAGGTGGCATGTGTTAAAATCCGAGGAGTTTTTGTCAAATTTTCGTATATAAAAGCTTCAGTATAATTACTCTTATTAACGTTACATCGGATTTATTATTCTGTTAGGGTTCGTTCACACAAGCATGTCAGTCACGTCATCGTTAAGTCGGCGATCAGTCACAATTTCAGGGACGTGAACAAAGGTCCGTGTATATCGTTCAGCAATACATGTTTTGACTTGTCAATGACGCTGACGTGACATGACGTTGACTGAAACATGGCTGTAGTGTCATGGCCGACTTTGTCCCGTGTTATAGTTATTGCTCGCCATAAAATGTGAATTGACACAACTTTTCTAAAATCAAAATATCAAAAAAATATAAACGTGTGGGAGAGCCATGCTTCGGCAGGAATGGGCCGGCTCGACCGGAGTAATACCACGACCTCACAGAAAACCGACGTGAAACAACGCTTGCGTTGTGTTTCGTCGTGTGAGTGAGGTTACCGGAGGCCCGTTACCCTCCCCTTCCCCAATCTCCCCAATCCCTGAATCCCCAACGATCCTCAAACTCCTAATCCCCAAATGGCCGGTAACGCACTTGTGTTCCAGGTGCCCATGGGCGACGACGATTGCTTTCCATCAGGTGATCCGTCTGCTCGTTTATCGGCTATTGCCATAAAAAAATTAAAAAATATATAATAACCTGCTTTTCCAACTTAATGCGATGCGCAAATATTTAGAAACCACTTATTAAAGGAAGATTAGACCAAAAAGGTTTCGTTAGTTCATTAGGGCAAGGATCGATTTACAACAGTTATTTTTTAAAACAGATTTCCTTAAAACGTCCCAAAAAATACGAATAATGAGCTATTTTGTTACAAACTTGTTTTTAAGGAATAATTACTTAGCATAATTACAAAGTTCGAGTTACTTCGAAGATTCGACGTAGAAAAATATCGTTAACTTAGGAAGTTGTTACTTTTCGAAAATTTCCACAAACACGTGTGTAGTACAAATAGTATTATCATACACAATCATGTTTAACCTTGAACTGTCCTTCGCTTGAATAAACTAACACTATCGAGTACCTTGACGTCCTTATCGATAACATACTAATTTGGCACTTCACATAGTTTCGGAAATAGGAGTATTAAGATATAAGTACAGGTAATTTATGTTTAGTACTCACAGTAATGAAATAAAAAACTACAAACAATTTCATAAACATAACATAAAAACATAAAATCACGCCTTTTTATCCAGAAAGGGGTAGGCAGAGGTGCACATTTTGGCACTTAATGCAACTGTACAATGTAACACCGACTTTTCACTATTTGTGTTATGAGTCCCATGTAATAGAAGGTGAGCCTATTGCCATATACCGGACACATTTCCAGACTCCGTGCTACTACTGAGATTTTTAAAAACCCAGGAATACTTTTGCCCGACCCGGGAATCGAACCCGAGGCCAACGAGGCAGTCAATTTCATACAATTTCATAAAATTTTATCATATTAGATTTCATTATATTTAGTTTCGTCACAAATAATACTCTGTTTTTTATTATTTATTGTCCTCTGTGTTGAATGTGTGTACATCAATTAATAAATAAATAAAATAAATCAACAAGAACAATTGTGATGATGAAATTATAACATAATAAATGATACTCTCAGCGTAGATCCGAAAATAAAAAAACATTATATAGTTACGTGAAGGTAACCTGTCCGAATAGTACTGAAACGATAATTAGTATAAGCTATAGGTATTCGAATCGATCGAAGTCAATGTACGAACTTGACAGAAGCTTTGTCATAATTTGGTCGAATGTCAGTGTCAATGACAGACATTAATTTTTTTTTCAACCATCAAAGCAAACACAAGTAAGATCAAAACACGTAGACCGACTTTCTTATTGAAACCTCTTCAATTCTTGATACACCATTCAAACGCTTGATGCAATTTCAGTCTTAACCACACAATCATAAGCTCAAATATCCTTTGTACCTGACCCGGCAATTCCTGAATGGATAAAGAACTACATTCTAGCACTTACCCAAATTCCAACTCATCAGGCGTCAACATGACGATATCGTCATCAATGGTCAGCTGACACTCAGTCTCAATCTCGTCGTACGGGAAAAATCTATTTGACAGTTTGTTCTCTTTGGTTCGTATCACTTTCAACGGCTTGTTTGTAACTGGCCATTCGGATGCTGCAACAAATTACTTTATTAAAATTCCAAAATTAAAAAATAACAAAGAAGATGGTGATGCTTCTCTACAAGTGTGGGAGAGCCATGCTTCGGCACGAATGGGTCGCCTCGACCGGATGAATACCACGGCCTCACAGAAGACCGACGTGAAACAACGCTTAGGTTATCGGAGGCCCAATCAACCCCCCCCCCCCCCCCCCTTCCCCAATCCTTGAATCCCAACAATCCTCAAATTCCTAATCCCAAAAGGCCGGTAACGCACTTATAACGCCTTTGGAGTTCCAGGTGTCCATGGGCGATGCCGATCGCTTACCATCAGGTGATCCGTCTGCTCGCTTACCGACTTATCCCATAAAAAAAATCCGTCAATACTAATTCACGGCGTACTATGTGCATCGTTAGCGGAACATTAGCTTTTAACACTTATCTACCGATTCGACAGTCAAAGACTTAAGGTGCTGCTTATAAAGAATTAAAGTGACCGAACGCAACCCTTTTGCTCAATAACCATATTTGTTGACCCAGACGTTCTATACGACCTGCGAGTAAGTCCATAATTTATGAGTAATCCTTCATGTATTTATGGTATGGCATCCCTCGTCTCTTTTATTTCGGGGTTCGATAGGTCGATATATTCAATGTAACACTCATTTTTTGGACATGGATACACTGTTTCATCAATTTCAAAATTTAGTACGACCCGCACTTGTGAATACTTTACTTATTTGTGTTACCTACGTCGTACATCTTTGAACCCCATTCTATCACAGCTATCTTGTTTACAACGTCTAAAATAATTGTAAAATGAAACAATTAGGAGGTTAAAGTTCAACAACTTGCTATCTCACAAGAATATGAACCTTATGAACTTTTCGCAACAGAGGGCATGACGTACATCATGCGCTTACGTGTAATTTTTACAACAACGTTCAATTTTGCATGGATGAAAACTACAGTGCAATGACCGCATCGCGTCTGGCTTAAGATTATTATGATAACCTTCATCAACGTTGATCTTCTTTGCATATCATATAAGTAATGCTACGCCTGGTTTTATACCATCACATAAAGTAACACTTAATCTGTCAAGATTAAGCTCAGACGTACTTATAAGTCTGAGAGGTAAACTCTCTGCAACATAAGAGTAAAAATTGGAGATCCCTATTTAGCAACGAAAAGTAATTCGTGGATGCTAGATTCCCAAAATCATCTAGAGGATCAAACATTAACCCATCGTGTGTTTAAACGTGGATCCATGCCAGACACAATGTAATTTCTACTGTGTCTCATATACAAGCAAAATAAAGCGGTTAAAACATCGAACCGATCAAAATACAAATTATAAACGGCTTATACAAATCAACTTAAAGACTGTTTGTTCCCCAATCCCATTTGCGACCACTGGTAGTTCAGTATGTCCGGCAATCGGTAATAAAAAAGATATATCAAAGTGTATAGCAATGATTTGTGGAGAAAGCTGGTCATGTACAGACGCCATAAGTCTCGCTGCTTGATCACTACGTTTACTACGGTTACAAACCTCTCTGGCGCAAATATAAATCGCTTCCGATTTATTTCTTACATCGTAAGCCTTGGACATGATTAGTTGTTGTTTTCTTAGGTATTTGAAACTTAACATTATCATAGTTTATGTCTTTTAAAGAGAACCTTGAATCCTAAACTCCGAAATTAAGGATTCGAAACCCAGTAAGAGACTTTTGTTGACTTTATTAGTGTGTTTTGGCGGCGGCAGCACTGTGCCCTTAGCCAAATGCCACTGTAGCGCTTGTCTACAGAGAGAGTAGAAATCTAAATGTATGGGGATGACACTGACAAGTGTCAAAATTTACGTCAATTCCATATAATTTGGTTTTCTATTCTACATGTAGACAAGCGCTAAATGGCATTTGGCTACAGCTGCTGTATATCAGCAATTATTAAGGAAAAAATTGTGTATTTCACAATTTTTTGTCAATCTGGACTTGTCATTTTCAATTTGAATCTGAAGCTAAGCCACGTTAATAAAGTGTGTGATCTCCGTATGATAGGAGACCTTTGATCATAAGGCTTATAATGGATAAAATATAATTCAGCATAATTTTGAATACCATAAGTATAGTGGGAGGAAATGAGAATGATAAGCCTAAAGCTGTTAATAATATTGGCATACCTGTGCCACAACTGGGATATTGCCAAATTAGGAGTACTAACTATAAAATAGTGTAGTTGACCTCGTTATTCGATTCCTGATACAGGCGATTACAAATTTAGTATCGATTGTGGATTATTATTTGTCAGTTATAGACATTTAAACTTTACACGCGGTCATGGCCGCTAGAATTCTTATGGATATAGTTAAAAAGGGCGCATTAAATTCAACTATCTAAAAAAACGGCCATGCCATAATCCCATCACTAAAGAATACATAAACAATACTGAAATGTGCTGGTTATTCTACCACGGCGCACGGGTTCAAATCAAGACAGGCGCTAATTTATTACATCATCGCAGCTATAAAACAGAGAAAGAAGCCATTGTTAGGGAAACTGGGCTTTAGAACCAAAAGTATAAGATACGTGATATTGATTAACTCGTCGAGTACCGGTTTTATAGACACAATTAAAGAACAATAGGTCGCGGTCACCGGTGACCGCTTGGTATTTGACAGTTTAAATCATAGTGGAAGAAGTATTAATAGTGACAAGGGCTTTCTGGCAGGCCAATTAACATGAACAGAGGGATGATAACAATCTACTAAGTATGTCAACAAAAAAAAGTGAAAATAAACGAAGTATATTTTTAAATCTGCTCACTATTAACAGCCAGACATTAAATAATGCAGAATGAATATCCTATCACTAACGTAATATAAATCACAATCAGGTAAAGATTAAGTTCAAACTTAAATGCACACGTCAGGCTAAAGATTCTCTGAAACAGTGTCGATTAAAATGATTTTTATCAGATAGAAAATAGAGTTGATAGTTAACTGTGTCAATACTTTGATACGTTGCATGCGTATTGATATCTGGTTTATCTAGTGATTCGCACGTGTACATATTCAATGAGTTTTTATGATACTCTGTATAACTAATTCAACAGTGGTAGGTGTTTCTATGGAATTTAATTTGAATATATAGTAAAGGTGAACCCTGGAGGGAATTGTTTCTTTTATATTTTTATGCCAAGTCCCTTGAGAAGAGGAGAGTATAAAAAACTTAATAAAGGCGAGATTTTACAAGCGTCCCTTTTACCTAAGGGATTGCTGTTAAGGGATCGGTAGTTTCAGAAGCATATACACGAGCATACCTTTGCACTATCTTAAACATAACATCACGCCCTATTTTACCCTGATGGGTACCTCGATAGATGAATGTACATATAGGTATAGTATGTATGTAGGCTACCTACAGCCTCTTTTGTCGTAGCGAGCCCGTTACCAAGCGCCTTTTATGAATTAAGACTTGATTTTAGTGACGAGGAACGGTTTGATAATAAAGTGGATGTCGATGATAATCGGATTCTACTTATTAAGACCTATGTTAGTAAACTGGTAGTAAAAGGGCTAATCTTTACATTTTTCCAATAAGTCTGAGATTTATGTACAAAATTATATATCAGCGAACTAAAAAAAATCCTTAATTACTATTATTAGAACGTGTTCTTCTTATTGAAACTTTGGACAAAAATCAAAGACATATACAGACCAAACTACTTCCAAATTCCCAAGTCAACAAAAATACAATGATTTTATCGAACACATGGCTGTAAAAATTCCCAAGGGATTGTCCTGAACTAATTAAAGAGAAAAGACACGTCCCAACTCCTAAGGTATAACTATGGATAGTTGGGAACTTCGAAGAGGGTCATTTAACCGTACTATTAAGGGTTAGCACTCTGTTAACACACCACTTAATAAATCTAGTAGGCTGGGGACCTATGAATTAAAAGCCGGTGACCTCTAAAGATAATTAACAGGGGTAGCTGAAAATTTGATTGTCATACTCCAGGCAATTCGAAGTAAAGATATTATTATTGGAGTTGTAAACATCTGTTTGACAACCCTGAATGATTTGCTCACCGCGAACCCTCATTGCGGCTTCGTTGATTACACACGTCAACAATTTCGATCTACTACGTTAAGTTTTACTTTCCTTTACGATATTTTCACATGACATAATATACCAGGACTATTTTTAACATCATAAAATAACTGACTAAGGACTAAGGACTGTCTCGTTGGCCGAGTGGTCGCAAGTGCGAAAAGTATTATTGGGTTTTTTTAAAAAGCTCAGTAGTGGCACGGAGTCTGGAATTGTGCCCGGTATATAGCAATAGGCTCACCCCCTATTACATGGGACTCATAGTCATAACATAACTAGTGAAAAGTAGGTGTTACATTGTACAGTGGCATAATGTGCACCTCTGCCTACCCCTTCGGGGATAAAAGACGTGATTAATGTTAATATGTTAAAACAACTGATATATGTATTGATCGATAATGCTGCTCCTACTGGAAGGCTTAACCGATACATATTTTAACACAGTACGTTTGAAAAATACGTCAAATTATCCAAAAGTTTCCCTGGCATGTATTTAATTAGTTAGACATTGTGAAACCGACCCTTAGGATATTTATTTATCCACGTTAATCCAAACATTGATCAAATCTAAAATTTAAACTAATACAATAACAAATAAAAAAAACAATAAATAAAACCCTCCCGCCTCACCCAGGTGGGAGCAGTCATTTGATGATTTTCCCCGCTTAAAAAAAAATTAATAATAATACTTTTCACCTTGACCATGATAATAATACAAAAATGGTTAAATATAAACTACACAACAGTTAGATCAACGACGCAAAGCTAATTAGGTATACGGTGTTTTTCAAACGTTTATGATTAGCGATGAAATGGTAATGTATTCCAATCAACTTGCAAAGTATATGCTGATACGAAATCAAAATGCAAAATTAAAGAAAAACCTCATACAATTTACGGCTTGATTTAATGTAAGTGCACATGAATATAACACGTATATTTATGTAAACTAGACCCAAGATTGCATGATTATAAAATTACGACATAACTGCGCAATTAAATAAGGGTTAAAAATGTTGAACAATTAACGTCGCATAAAACAATTAAGGTATAATGCTTTTTTAGTTTACTGAGAACTGTTCGCAGTGTTATTAACAATAACAACAGAAAATATTTCCGTTTATTGCAATAAGAGTTTAAAAGTAGAGATGCAACAAAATAAATCCATTCTAAGAATTAAAACCCACAAACAAAGTACTTGATTCTATTGTCTACTTATTTAGAAAAAAAACAATAAAAGATTAAACAGAAGTAAACTAAAGAACCGTCAAGGACAGTTAATGCACTTCCTAATGAGATAAAAGGGCAAGTCGCTATAAGGAAGGTGGACCCTAACCATAAGAGAATCGAATGAAAAAATATTCTGAGTATACGCAGTAACATCGACACGGATCGATAAAACATTGAAAGGATCACGACATATCGATATGATTGGACGATTTAAATAAATAAATTGGCAGAGTCTAACACATTATGCAAAAACAGAAGTATATATCAGTAAAACATATAACTGACTAAATAGAACACCCTTTTTATGTAGGCTAAGTACTACATATCATAGATAAACCTCTACCTTTGTCTTCTTGAGAGAAACAGGCATAATTTTACGTAATGAAACAGACAGATTACGCGCGCAGATCGCGGTCGACAAAGCCAAGTGATCTACAATGCCAGAGGCATGTCTTATCTTGCCCTGTCATTCCTGAAACAAGACTTAAATGTTTCTTACAATTGTAATAGCTTCATTATCATTCTAACCGGAACATAATAACGTCTATTTCGGTGTTTTACGGGATAATAAAACCCTGACGCGAAAATCTACCGCACAATATGGCATGTGACAGTAGCAAATATCGTATACAACCTCATGGACAAGGCTGACTTCAACGCCGATATCGCGTGAACCCCACAAATATCATTATAAAACTACAACAATAAAACATAGAATTACTTTGTTACGAATAACACCTAAAAACTCTGAATGACACCGTAAACAAAAGTCATAAACTTAAAACGGAGTTAAATGAAGTAAATCACGCTCCCCGTTCGAAGGGAACAATGAACAAACAAAATGTTATAGCCGTTGTGACTATAGTACTAATTTAGGACTCAGAAATTCGGTTCATCTACGTCTACTTTATTTTTTTTTCTCTAATCCAGTCTGAGCCATACTCAGAAAAAAAATAATCAAGAGCTCTTTCGAAACGCGTGGCTCGAGCAAAAAGGATCCGTTCGTCAGTCATAGGGATTCATTCTGAGACATCATACAATATGTAGTAGTTTCATCAAAACGACAGTTTTGGGGCCAACAATAAGTATTAAAGGAAAACGAGAATTTAAGGAAAAAATTACAATACAGAAACTTATCCTATACATGTATGTGGATCACATTCAGAATGACAATGAAAGACATGGGTCGTTCTACAGTTACATAGAATTTAATAGATGTACTTACAAGGAGGCGGCGCCTTTTTCTGATTATTCCAAACGACTAGTATCTTGGCTAGGCTCGGTGTCCGCACCAGTTTGGACACCAGCGCGAACAGGCTGTCTACCCGGTCGTACGTTAGTATGACCGCGGTGAAGCCGGCCGCTTTGGACGCGGTCACCGGCAAGAAGAGTGGATTCACTGGACCGTACTGCATCAAAAAAAACATAAATTAATTCGATAAGAAAACACATGAAATCACTTAAGTATGTTAAAGAATACAAAGAACCGAACAGAACCAGAACGATCAATAAAACGGATTCACATAGAAATTACTTATACATTACAACATCGTACTGACTCCTAATTTCACACTCGATCTCCCTGTACCATCTGGTTGTATCCCTGAAAAGGATCGAATATCCGAGGGACTGCTAATACAATTATTTATTTATAACAAAGAACCATTATGAAGATACATGTATGTATACAGTAGACAGAATCGTACTATCACACATGTCCAATCTGCAATAAGTACTGGATAAAAGCTCGCCTTTTCCCATTACACGAGACTAATTTGAAATTTAGCTTCCATACAGGCTATTTCACTTCCGACATTTCAGTGCTCGCTTGAAAATGGAAAATTCATAGCGATTTTTAATCGCAGCCTACGTCAAACTGAAAGTAAGGAACTGCGTACGAAATGGGACCGGTGTACGGACCTGAATAAAAACTAGGAAATTGCGCTGTCGCTCACTGCAGGCGATAGCTAGCCAGTGATGGCTAATAATATGTGCTATATATGAGGCCCCTGGGAGTGTACCACATAACTATAGATAGGTACATATTACGTGAATGTGCGGCCGACTCAATACAGGATCGTAGGGGATAAAGGAGCTTAGTACACGACATACAAACGACAACGTCCCTGAACTAACTCGCTGTGTCTCATGGTATCTATTGCCAATATTGTAAAGAGGATTGTGAGTTTGTTTATATGATGTTTATCTTGAGCCTCTTGGGACTAAATGACTTGAACGAAGATCGATCGTTGAGTCTTGAAAATGTAATAGTTCTTCACACGTTTACTTAAAGTTTGCCGTGTACCTCAGAGAGTTAAATAATGGTCTAACGCAAATATGAGCCGAATATTTGCATACATCGAATCAAATATTTGAGTTCTACTGTGGGTGTGCTTTCAAAGTTGAAAAGTAATACCAGTTGTCAAGTTCAATTTTAATTCATACACGTTATTTATGAAAAGGTAAATTCGTAGCGTGCCTCCCAGCATTTCTGTTTCAGAGTATAATTAATTGTTGCTAACAATACAGAAGACAATAGGCATTTCAACGCTTATTACGTTCGTTTGCAAAATAAGCTTCGTCTCGTTAAGGATTTTTCCTTATTCGAGTATTCGTCATTGCGATAAAAGCTCGAATCTCGGTGTCTCCTCAGCTACGTTACATTATTCAGGAAACGAGTCGCAAAGTTTTAAAACAAGCAAAAAGCTATTTGGAAAATTAAAAGAACGCGGTTTTTTTCCAACGGAGGGTTCCTCTCAAGATAAAGGTGAGCATATATTTAGACACATCGATGTACGTCGGCTCTTTGACTGATTTCCGATACGTGACGTAGACTCAAGAAGCACGAGGAGGGCATCAAGGGTATGTCGTACCTTTTGACCCAATTTATTGGGGACATTTTTTATTTGCTTACAAAAACACACGGACAAAAACTTCGAAAATATGTTAAGGGAACCCTTTTTTTGCAAGTCGCCAATTTCATCAGATGGGAATATTATGCAAAAGAAATCCTTTGGAATAACATTCAATGGTGTTGAATCATAGAAAATCGTGACATCCCGCGGAAGTGGACACATCTGGTACCGCTACAGGCTACAGTTCAGATGTAGATTGTGCACATGTTTTAATAAAACATTGCCATATGAGTTTGAACATGACAATATTACTTATTGCTCCATTTTCTGATTCAACTTATACATTTTCCATTGCTTTTTTTCTATCTCCATAAAGAATGTTTGAAGGCAAATAACTCTGTGTATCGGAGAGCTCATTCTTATTCAGAATCAAATCGCTTGCCTTTTTCGTGGACCGCTAAGCACATACGAACTCGAAACCAAATATCGGTGGGTCATGCACATATCTGTTCCAATGTATTGTACACATTATTATGACCACCAAGTAGTCGATTTTATTTCAGGTTATCTTTTACACTAAATCTCAAAGCAGATACATAGAGTAGATAACTAATACATAGTTATAATAAAAACTTATAATTGATTCTTTTGCACACCTGCACCCTAAATAGTGATGGCGATAGCGTGAGAATCCGTTATTTTATAGTTACCAGCGCCAGTTTATTTAAATATGCAAAAGCAATTTTTTACTTAGATACGAAACCTCTTTTCTAAAACCAATAAAAGATGGAGTAGCTGAGAGAGAAATGTGTAGTCGAGAGACATTTTTAAATTGCTGTACGGGTGTTCGAACTGGAAAACTACAAAATAAACAAAAAGTGAAGCCCATTTAAAAGAAAAAACTTAAAATGGTGTTCGGTTAGCAACAGCGATTCAACCAAGCACTCGTATTTATCGATTCATCTTCAATAACTCATGTTCAATAATTCTCTTTGTATACATATTCCTAGCTATAGCATGCTACTTAACCAGCTTTTACGAGCGGTTTCGGTCTAACTCGTAAAATTTAATCAAGTTTCAAACAAGCCTGATATGAAATCTAGGTCGGAAACTGTATCTGCAGCTTGAAATTTATAGCTCTTATGTTCCAATGCTCATACTCCACTCAATATTAAGGTGATCTTAAGTTGTATCTTCGCTACAATATAAGTTAATATTATAGAGACAGCCAACTCATACGCAACATAGCTTCAATACGAATAAGTTAAAGTATTCGGACGTAATTGTCACTCAAAAAGTACTAATTCAACGTCAAATACGACGGAAAACGACATTTTCCAGAAGAGAAACGTCTCTAGTACTTTTATTCGGTCATTTTAACAAAATGGCGAATTAACAAAGGCAACCTAATTCCCCTAATTGTTCGTCATTTCTTCCACCAAAAACATAATAAATGGAAACACCATAATTACGTTACTTCTGACGTAATTGGCCTTAATTTGCAGTTTGAAAATGTTGAATAACACATTCCAACGACGAATATAACACAATTTAGCTGCTACGCTTTTAAACAATTGTTTCTGCTATACGTTAATGTAAAAAGCAATTAAACAACTTTTCCCGCTAAAAGTTAAGAGTCCACTAAAAATTTATCCGCACAAACTAGGGTTGGCAACGGTTGCCCGGCTTCGAACTTTCGACCAGTGTTCGTTCTGTGATTTGCCCTTATCCGGTTTTCCAGACATAGTCACATGAAATTTCCGGAGTTTTCGTTTCATGGAATGTATCCCTTTCGAATGCCTATGTTAATGCCAGTAAATACTAGTGTCTACGGAATTTCAACTTCCGTATTAAACAGTCAGTTTGACTTTATCTTTAAAAGTAAACAAATTAAGGGGTTAGTCGTTATTATTGCTTGTGAGTGTTTAAAGTTGTTCCATACAGAGCGCTCACTAGCTCATAAAAACGTGCAATTTAAATTCTGTATTGCCAACAACAATAAAAAGGAGGAAACATAAACAGTTCGTCCTCGCCGTAAACCTAAGAACATGCATTGACCCGATAACTAATACTGTGATCTGATCATCAGAAACTGGTTTTAACGGGGCCTACAACTGATACCTGCATTTAACCTCCATAGAGATCGCAATCAAGTAGGTAGGCACAGAAGGACCAGTTGATAACAAATGCACGGAAACATAACAAATAGATGCATAAATGACTTTTGAATAAAAGTTTCATAACTTTTGAGTTTCAAACCTATAAAAATATCCATAGTTAATGGTATTTCAAAAACTAAAAAAAACTTTATTGTATTAAGGACAACAACCGATAAAGTAGGTACTGTTTACATTAGTACTCAAATGGGAATTCATATATAAGTGTGGGAGAGCCATGCTTCGACACGAATGGGCCGGCTCGACCGTAGTGATACCACAGCCTCACAGAAAACCGACGTGAAACAACGCTAGCGTTGTGTTTCGTCGTGTGAATGAGGTTACCGCGAAACGAGAATACTGTCTAACTAATCACGTGTATGTGCTTAAAAAACCAGGCAGTTATAAATATCTAACTTATCCTTGAAATAAAATTAATTATAGAAACCTCGAAAATGAAAATAGATGAATATGTATGTATTTCTTTTCCATATCTTTGATTGTTTATCCGGTGTTAACGAGTTTTATAAGGTCACGCAAACCAGATTTGAAACGGATTTCAAAGATTGAGATGATCTTGCGAAAGGAGCATTTTAGCGAACCGAGAAGGATATGCAATTACGCATATGCAATACACTTAGATATAAAATGTTTAACTTACTTTTATGAATCCAAGTCAATAGAAATTTTAGAAGGTAACAACGATATTCTAATACCCAATGCAGGAATATCCGAGGAAGCTCTACACCAAAAACTTGCAGACAAATTGGATGTGAAAGTCGACAGTCTGCGCTATGAATCGCAGTGAAGTTTGTGGACTGGTTAACGAAGAACACGAGACAAGACGAAAATCTAGCACCAAATTGATATTAAACTTTGTCTTGTATGGATTTCTTTAAAAATTGTCTAAACTAAAAACGCAATAAGGCCATAGTTCTGGATCCAATGTGATTTCTAGCAAGTTATTTGAAATTCTCAGTGCAAGAATAAACCGCAATAGGTGCTCCGCGTACTCCGTACGGAATTATTTTTCAGACTTCTTTGTCCCGCGGCTCGACTGCACTGTGTACGAAATAATCATTATTTAATTCAGAAGCTTTCACAGTGCTAAAAGTAGCATGCACCAAATACGATTTGCTTTATTCATGTGAAATATTAACGGCTTTATTTAGCTTCGAGTAAGTTGAAAGAAATTTTAATTGAAGTGAGATTAAAGCTGTCCGTGGCACACACTATGCAAATTAGTTGACGCTTGACCTTTTTCAAGGACTTAAAAGTACGAATAAAAGGTATGCTGTAAAAGCAAATATTGAATATTCATGTATTTGACTAGATTCGCTACGGCACGGAGGCAGGATTGCCCCATTTTCGAGTGTTGCATTTTCATAACTTTTTTTAATATCTTGATTAATGTCCTGGGAAGGGGAATTTTAATTTTGTACACAATGTATATTCAGTGTATAATTCTGGCATACATTATACCAAATTCACATAATCATAAAATCTAGAGAATCCAATCAACGTCTCAGGCGAAGCTGTCGCAGTTCATAAGAGAAGTTGTGCTCTGATCGAAACTTAATACGGAGATCACGATGATTGCATTCCCCTTCATACATACAGTACAGAGTTGAATGCATTTGCATATGACGTCACTTACCACGTGCAATGCATATTGTAAAGCTATTTTTACGTAATGTTGAAAAGCATTCATATAAAGACGTTAATAAAAATATTTAGCTACTATGAAGAAAAAGCTGTAATTTAAAAACAAGTTTACGTTGAAAGCATTTTTTCTTTACAACTTGTTTATAAATGTACGAAATAAAAGTCAAGGAACCGGTTCAATATATTTCTTATTTACTACGGTACTACACTAGTTTCCAGCTCTATTGCGAACAGAATACAAAATGAAACCTAGTGCTTAGACGAGGAATAAAGAATTGAATAATAGCATTGTCGAAATTCATCGCTGAAACTTATTGAATACATTGAAGTAAGTATCTGGGAAGGTAACAGACTAAAATAGAGCTGACTCGACGTTTTTCTTTCAATGCGTCAATCGCTGAACGGATTGTAACGAAACTTTTTGCGCAGTCATCTCTTAACTTAGGGCCTGTAGTTTTTTAATATTCGGTAATGGCTTTTAGCATTAAGTTTTTCCGTTCTGCATTTTAGTGAAGTTCCGGATTTTTTACCTCGTAATTTTTTTATACCGTTAATATTTCACGGTACGATAATTCGCGGTGCCCGCATGCAACTGCGGTTTGTGGCTTTATTTCGAAAAAGCCATAAAGCCACAAGCTTATGCGGTTCGTTGGATGCCCACTTTGTCGGTGAGGGCTGATAGCAATTACCGTACGTTTTGACAATTTTACTGGGTGCGTTTTGGACTACTGTTTTGCATTGTTGGAGAATCATAAAACAATAATTTAAAAAGGCATTTCGCCATGTTTAAATACATACTATAATATACCTTAGAAGAATGTCGCCTTTTAAATTGGTAGGTATGCGCATGTTAACTCTGATACGTATTATTACATTTTATAACTATTTATTACTTGTACACGCAATCTAGCCATATTCATTAAATAATTTAATTACAGACGGACTTCTGCTATTTTTATCATCCTCATTCGTAATGGAATTGGAATGTCTCGAAAGATAATCATAATTATGTTAAACTATCAAGTATAAAAAAAAACTTTTTGATTCATTATGGTACTGGCACTGCACACTCATTAATGAGTCATATCCATGCGGTTGACTTAGGGTGATAATTACAAATTATATGGACAATAATATAATAACAATTAAAATATTAAAAAACATGTTCTTACCAAGTGTTCAGGCATGTTCCACTCTTCATACGTCCTGGCGGCCAACGCAAACACTTTCTCATTAATTATCTCTAAAGCAGTCAATGTTATCTTCTCTATACTAGCAAAATATCTATCAAATGCCCATCTTAGCTGCCAGTAGAGCTCTCCACGGCGCTCTTTACTCACTGAATGCACAATTTTAACTAAATTCTTTATATTGTCTTCCGGTACAAACAGTGCTAGTTTATTCCAATCAACATGCGAACTAAATGGCATCACTACGGAGTCCGCAATCACTACTGGTATACACTGAGAAGCAAGAATATCCATCAGCACAGCTTGCGCCAACCTCGCACTTCTTATAACTAAACAGAACATCCCATCCTTCAGGACATTGGGGTAGTCAAATTGTCTACCCGTGGTGTACTCACACCGCTTACTGTAATCTGTTTTGTCAGTCTTACACCGGTCCAACAACAAGAGATCGTTGGACGAAGATGCAATGTTCTGTAATTCTTCTAAATAATTGTGTGGTATATTGAGCTGCGTTGATATTATAAGGTACTTCTTTTGTTCTGGTTGGGTGCTGTCGATTGTCTCTGCGACAGCACTGTACACTGGTATTGATACGTCAAAATTGTATCTAAATGTCCATGTGTTGAACCCAGCTCCTGCTATAATAGCTCGGCTGGTGTTGAGATCCACCACGGAGTTGTAATTGGGTGCGGACCCTGGCAGCATGTTGAATATAAGGTGGTTTTCACCGTGGTTCCAACTGTTGAATAAAACATTTTATTAGTGAAATGACAATGTTTATTTCATTAGGTAATTGTTGTTTTTTATTAAACTGATGTATGACACATGATATGTAGGAAGTGAAACAAAGTTATAAGTAATTAAACTGTACTTTTATGTCTTTGTATTCTTGCATTATTTGTTATTAAGGAACATTTAATATAGTAATGGTTGTTTTTAATAAACTAATTATCATCCTTTTTCTTTCTTTTTATGTCACTTTGTTATACAATTGCAGTAAATACAATTCTATTGAAACAGTACCTAGTTACTATCTCAATTTAAAAACATCTCAATATTGTACTTACTTTGAAATGTGACATGCAATATGGATGTTAGATGCATTTTAAGTATACTGGTAGCCTCATTGGCTATAAATAGAGTGACACAAGAGTGTGTTTGTATACAAATAGGTAAGCTTATCATTAACTACTTACTATGGCAAAGACTGCAGCACTTGTGCGACATGTTTACTTGAGAAACTATGTTGATTCAGAGTATCTATACTAGGTACTAACAGGCACGCCTCCTCCGGGTCAGGCGTGTAATATTTACTACGTTTTATAGTATCTAATATCATATAAAATTCTTTAGAAAATCTTGATATAGAATTCCCATTTTCAGTCTGATAGTCTTTTATTGGATATATGTATATTGTTATCTTGTTGTGTCCGCCTTTTCCACATCTGTAGACATCGACGCAGTCCCAGTAAGTGCAGTTGGAGACACGAGGATGCGCCTCCAGAGCACTACTGCTGATTTTAACCACTTCAAAACTTGTCGAGTCCAAATTCACAGCTTGATACACATCTATCCGCGTCGCACTACCAGAAAACGTATTAAACACCACAGTAAACACTAAAGATACCACTATAAACAAGAGTAGGCCGACGAAGAACCTATGATACAAGATTTTTCTATACGATGTATATTTCGAATGCTTGCCCGTTTTCAGAAGCGATTCCGCAGCCATTTGTAATTTCGAGGATTAAATTAATCTTCTTAATTTATATATGGCACCCATTATTAGGTAAGATCAATTAATTCTCATTCAAAAATCCATCAAAGTATAAAACACGATAATACTGCTTGCGAAGAGAAACTGACGCAGTGAAGTGATTGACAGGCTGCTGGTAGGCAACTAGTGTTGTGCTGTTTGATAACGTATGATATTTCGATAACGCACTTTAAGATACTGTTATCGAGAAATCAAATTATTATATTTATTCGAATAAAATGTTAGCATTAATAAAAGTACTATTGAGATAAACAACTTTAAAAAAAAATATTTATAATTAACATCTTATGTAAGGTTGGAAATGTATTGTCATTAATTCTGCTAAGTTCCTCGCTTTACTCTGAATAGTCTGAATTCAATGATAATGGTAATTTTTAGCTAGTATGTCTAATATTATACAATAATGTCTCTCATCTAGCCAAAGATTCCCAATACAATAAAAATATTGGACTCTTTTTTAAGCCTTGTGTTATTTCATATATTTTTTGAATATTAGAAAAAATATTAACGATTTCGACCGGTCTCAATAGTCGATATTTAATTAGTAGAGACTTGAGAAATACTGAATTTTGACATAAGCTCCAAGTTAATGCCAAATAGCATTTTTTTCAACCTAAACTAACTTTTTAAAACTTCGCACCTAACCTATCCATTACGTGCAAATAACTCTTTATTATGGCAACTTTTTATTATTAAATAGATTTTTCACTTAAACAAACTTTTCAGAATAAACAAACACATAATATCTAAATTAATATTTTTACAGAGAATAATTATAAAGGAATTATAAAGGAATAAAGGAATTAAAGGAATTTATTTCTCTCAAAAAGGTACATACATAGAAACATTATATCACTATTTAAGTTACAATAGGATCAACCTTTGTGAGAGCTGGAGTCTATACTGGGTTCAAGACCTGTATGACAGATCTCCAGGTTCACACCCGATGTCACAATAATATAGTAGGTAATTATAATGCAATAGAATACAAGCAATTAAAAGAAACAAATTCCGTGGTCTGAGGGTAGACCAACACCAAACCAGAGTGGATTATATGAGAATGGATGATGAGAATGTGTTTGTCAATTGTGAAAATGAATGTACAGTGTGTGAGTGTTCATGTCTTTAGTGTGAGTGTATCTGAAGTTGTGTGTTTGTGTATGTAAGTTGGTGTGCTGTGAAAAATATGTTTTTTTTTTTTTTTTTTTTAAGGGGGGAAAATCATCGAATGACTGCTCCCGCCTGGGTGAGGCGGAAGGGAGTGTCAGACTCTTACTGACTAAAAACCACCCCGTTCCTTCTCCTGCACGTCGAGCCGGAGCCCCGGTTACCCGTTAGGTTCTCCGCGACTCCGAATCGGCATCGGCCCTATTGGGCCCCATCTGTGGTGGTCTGATGGCTCTTTGAGGCGCGCGCGGAACGCGACGCGCCGTACGCTCGGGTCTGTTTCTGGTCGGACGGGGAGCCACCCATGCTCTGTATATATGTAAATATGTAGACATTACCGAAAGCCGACAACGACGAAGTACCCAACAATGTACCTATGCGAGATTTAAGATAAAACGTGCAGTAATTCTTCAGTGCTATCATAGTCCATGTCAAGAAGCCAGTTCCTGACCGTTTTTTTACATTTAGATTTACACAGAGGATATATGTTAAGTACATTGTTTGCCTTGTTGTATATGTAGCCGCTAAGAAAAGGGAAACTGCGTTGTGCTGATCGACAATTAGTCGAAAAAGGAGGACAAACACTATGCTTACGCCGTTTACCGTCAAACATGGTCGGATCGTAACTAATTTGGGAGTGAGTAGTCAAAAGAATATTCGAAATGAACAATTTTCGTATAGAGAGAACATTACAAATTTTATAAAGATCTGTGGTTGGAAAACGGAAAGGTAGCTTCCAGCCCACTTTCAGGAGTGCACGTTGTGCACGTTCTAGTTTTAAAAGATGTGTTTTAGCAGATCCGCCCCAGGCAATTATGCAGTATTCCATAATTGATTGACCAAGAGCCAAATACACAAGCCGCATAGTATTAGTATCGGCAGCATGACGGAGAGACTTGAATACATAAATTAGCCTCCGGACTCGAGAGGTAAGCGCGTCTATGTGAGCACGAAAAGACAGGCAATCGTCAATAAGTACACCCAGATATCTAATGCAGTCGACACGAGAGATACGGGGACAGTTACAGATTGACCTGTGATGTAATTTGCAAGAATGTGCTATTAATGGAAGAGAGGGTAAACGGGACTTGCCGGCCTCTGAAAGGGAAAAGGTAAGATATTTCGTTTTATCTGAATTTAAAGTGAGCAGGTTGTGGGTCAACCAATTGGTGACAAGGTCGAAACCACCCTGTGCATGCAGATAAACCGACTCCCACGGGTCACCATGAAATAGCAGGGCAGTATCATCAGCATATGAAAAAATGGATGCATTAGGTATTTTCAGAAGACACAAGTCGTTTATATAAATAAGAAATAGGGTAGGACCTAGGATACTGCCCTGGGGGACCCCGTATGTAATGGGAAGGTCGATGCTAGACCATTCAGCAATTTTAACGCGTTGGCGTCTACCAGTAAGGTAACTCTCGAATAGCGCAAGCTGGATACCTCTGATTCCTATACGCTCAAGTTTAATTAAAAGAGTGGGGACAGATATCGTATCAAACGCCTTAGCTAGGTCCAGGAAGATACCTATGACCTTCTGATGCCTGTCCAAGTTAGAGATGATGTAGTTGGTGAGGTTTAGCACTGCGTGGCCTGTAGAGAGTCCGGAACGAAAACCATACTGAGAGCAGGAGAGGATGCTGTTTATTTCAAGAAACTTGACCAGCCTACTGTTCACAAGCCTCTCAAGTAACTTAGATAGGGTTGGTAAGATTGAGATGGGTCTATAATTGTTAAGACGATACCTGTCACCGCCCTTGTGTATAGGAAGTACTACTGCTAATTTGAATGCATCTGGAAATATCCCGGATGTAAAGGCAAGGTTAAATATATGTGACAGAAGGGGAGTAAGATAGCTCTTGTATTTTTTGATAAAATTGCCAGATATGTCATCGCAACCCGCGGCACAATCACCTCTCAGATTCTCAATCAAATTATTCAACTCAATATCATCGGTTTCTAATAGGACGAATGAATTAGGAAAGGAGGTATCGTTGACAGTTGAAGGGCGAGGTAAAGCATGAGATGTAGAAATGTTTTCCGCTAATGTACGACCTATATTTGCAAAGTAGCCATTGTAGCCAATTATTTTTCTTATTTACAAATATTTAATATTCTTTACACGAGAATGTAATCATATAATCTTACCGTCTAAAAGCTTTAAATCTAATTGTTTTTGAAACTTTTATTAAATAGATAAAATCGTACATCAATTTAATATCGATTGAAAAAAATTCACAGCTGCCATTCGATTTAAGATACCTAGCGTGTCACGTCCTTTTGTAGCACAGACTAAAAAACAGTGACATTTTATTTGTAATGCTTACGTTCAAATACTTAGTGGGGAAAATATGTATCGTAAATTATTGAAATAAATGTAACCGTAAAAATAAGACATAATTTTCACATTAAAAACATTCCGCTGAAATTCACATTATCTATGATTTTTGGAATATTACCAGTTTCTGTCAGTCATATGGTCTGTTTTAACAATCTGATAATTTTGTAGATTATACAATTTAGGTTCCGAACGCAACCGATTGTTACGAAGTGAACTTTTTTGTTTTTCTGTCAGTTAAGTCAGTTTTGTGTTGTGCGTAGTTGTGGTTGAGTTTCTGATGGCTTGATTAATTTTGTTATTATTTTATTTTACCAATTCCAACAAATAATTTTGTTCCGAGCTTGACCAGATATGGCGCTGTTACCTCCAGACCCTGTTTATACGATCAGGAACGTGGACAACGTTCCTGTTTATTCGTTGGCATTTAGCTTTTTGCCTGGCGGTCTCGAGAGGTTACTAGCCGGCTCAAAAAACGGCTACGTTTATGCATACAACCTTCAGGTAAGATCACATACATATTTCAAAAGATTTTGTAGTTACAAACAACTGCGCAGAAGGCGTTAATGACGTGTCCTATGGCTTCCATTTAGTGCGCAACATTTTTGTTTACTACCCTCGATTCGCGACCTAGAATCGGGCGAACCGTTTGCCAAATCAAAACTTTAACGTATTTATTCTATTTTATTAGGTCATTGAACCTTTCTGGCTGGATATTATGTAAAAGATAATATTTCCAATTGAAATTGTGTTTTAATATTTTGTGTTAAGATATATTATTGGTTAACACTTTATTAAAATTACTACTAATAAACTTGTTCCAACACATAAAAAATCGATTACTATTATTATCATTATCAAAAAGTTTTTGTCTAGTTCATTGTGTGTGATCAGATTCTAATTAGATTAGTCTTATAGACAAGGAGAACAATAGAAGCTCACTAACTTTGCACATAAATGAATATTACTACAATATAGTAAATTAAATAAAAATGCTTAAAAATTCTTAATATGAATCAATGAAAATGGAGGTACTAAGTAAAAAAATTTTATGTTTTCAGACAAATCGTGTGCAGCAGAAAATCCAAGTTGGTCAAGCTCCAATTCTTCATCTTATTCACACGGATAATCATCTCATCACGCAGGAGAAAGGCGGCAAGTTTAAAGTATTTAGTTTAACAAACTCTGGCTATGAGGAAGACGCACTTATTGACATTGATTACCCTGGTTTTTGCCGTTTTGACGCCAACACAAAACTCGAAGCACTTTATGTACCTGACAAGGATTCTAAAATTCATATTTACAACTTTTCTGGAGAAAAAGGAGGATGTTTGGAGCCTGATGCATCACTGAAGCTGGGAGAACCAATGTGCTTGAAGTTCATCGAATTTCCTTGCGATCGGCCTTGCTTGCTGGCTGGATATGAAGCAGGATGGCTCCTCCTGTG